AATTGCGCAAATCAACCTAAAGCGGCGAAGAGACCAACAATGCGACGGTATGCAAAGAAAATGCGAAAAAAAAGAAAATGATATTTTTTAATTTAATTTAATTCTTCCTCACCATTCTATCAAATGTTTCAAACTGCCTCAGGAAGCAGAATGATAATATTTCCTATTCAAGCGACCATAAGCTGATTCATCATGAATAATTTAAAAGGAATTTCAAATACACGTGGCAGTCAGATGCCCCCAAGATGCAAGTTGAAAATTGATACTTGTTTCTCGTAAATTACGAACAAGGAAAGTATTCAGTGATATTTTAAAATATATTATGACGCAAATAGAACCCAAATCAAGTTATACAGGAAAACTGATTTTATACGGGCGGAATGTAAATAAAGTAATAATGACGCGGAAAACAAGATTTAAATCAACGGACAAGAGTTTTTAATCCATCCAATTTCTATAAAATCCATGAACAATATTCGAGCCGAGACGACTGGTTCGGTCGTCATTCCCATATCCGAGGCGGCGGTTAGCCATATAATTAGGATGCTTCATCGAAACCTGTCTCTCCTAGGGAAAATCCCAATCCTAGCACTTCTTTAAATTTCCCATACTGTATTCCAATGAACTGAAACGGAGGTAACCTTGGCATATCGTGTTGTTCGTGTTGTGTACAGTGTAAATTCTATTTCGGTAACGGAACCCAGTTTCATACGACGTAAGACGTTGAATTAATTTTTAAGGTAATTTCGAAATCAACGACCATCTGTAGAACAGCGGTTATCAACCTTTTTAGTGGAGTGAAAATAAAACATTTCAAGTTTCAAGAAACCCCATGTGCAATAGTTTTATTATCCGAATTGTACAAACTATAAATATATATATATAAAAGAAAACCCAATACTGGCGAAACGAAATAATCTTGGATTTGAATGGAAACTTGGGAACTCATGTATTAGCGGAACCAAGGGGTGGCGCGAAATCCCGATAAATTTACTGCGGGAGACGAATAAATTGTGTCAACAAAGGCTTTTCACGAGGCTAGGATGCGAAAATGAAGGGGGGGGGGGGGGGCTTTCCGCGGGTTCAATCTATATGCTGGTGCTAAAATCCCAGGGTTGGGGTTAGTATTGGTTCAAATATCCGTAAAAAAAATTCCATAGGTGCAATTGTCGTGGGTTCAAATGTAATGGAACCTTCGGGTTAGGGTAAGGAATACAGATTGCAATGGATATTCAAATCTTGAAATCATCCCTAACTGGATAATAACTATTTTTTTTTTTTCAATTCAAACCGGGGCGGGGACTTTTTTTCTCATCGAATATCACATTTTGCATTAGTGTCGAAGGCTTCACACAAAACATCAAGGAAGAGCAAAGCTACATTATTATGTTGTGTCCGATTTTGTCATCTCTAGTTTTCAAATCCCTAGCATGGGCGCCACGTCTCCTGAAATGACGCAGAACAAATCAAAATATGAAAACCAATTTCTGTGTTATTCGATGCGATATTACTTTATTAATCGCTTATTTGTACATAAATACGAATTGCTCAAAATAGAAAAGCGAAGACCAATTTCATAAATTACATGTTACGGATATTCCATTTCGAACCGCCGAGATGAAATTATTTCTCGTGTTACATTCAGTCATTGACCGAGAGTAACCTACGTTGCCAAGCGCGAGCTCGCACACTCACATTATTGCCAGCGTGCGCAAAAGCCGGGTCCAAAGTTCGCTTGAGGAGTCGTTTTTATTTGTGTTTCAATAGTCAATGTGGCCAATCTTGAGCCATACTTATGTAGAACACACATCTACATTTATGTTTGGTCGATTATGATTTTAATAAGTATCCTCTATAGTTGAAGTAGCCACATTTTTCCGGTCCCCTTGTCAGCGGAAATTGAGACGAAGCGATTAAACGTTTCCGAGAAATAACGTATTGAAAAACAGAGGCATATTGAATTCGAGAGAAAATGGAGGGCACTCATTTCTCGCTGAGACAAAATAAAATACGGAAATGAATTGGTGGCGGAATATTCCGTAGGATTTAGAATTGGGCTTTGTATGACAAAATAATACAGGGTTCCGGTAACAAACAGAATTTAGCACTGTCCTTGACAATGAAATTGATTGAAGACAGAATATTACATAGAATTAGCTTCAAAAAAGTGTGTTTAATTGCCTGCCAAAATAATACAGAGTAACAAGACAATTATGAATTGTAACGCAAGATACATTATTCGTAGTTCGTCTGTTTGTATTAAATAACAAGGTCGAAACAAGAAAAAAACGCCACATTCGCCCCCACTAATGCGGTAATTGGGTACTCCAGTAGTGTGTGTACCAGGTTAGGGTTGGGCCATAGTTTTGTTCCGATTTACCTTATTTTAGTTCCATTACGAGTTCGGGTACTGTCTGTGTTAGCCAAGTGAATATACCCTCTGTCCATAGGTTTTAGTCCCTTTACACAACATGATGTAGAATAGGCTAACAAAATTAGTTACCTCCATATTGGTACACACACTCCTGTAGCCCCAGTAATTGCGCACAAATAAAAGAAACGGGAATTATTTCTTTGCAAAAACATTTCATTGAAACATGTAGGATCTTTTATAGAAAGACCCGCCTCTGATGAAAAAATCTAGGATTTAAAAAAACAGTCCCGCTTCGTTTTAAAATAAAAAAAATAGTAAATATCCAGCCAGGGTTCGGGTCAGAAAGGATTTAAAAATTCGAAATTTAAGCGCAATCTGCATTCCTAGCCCCAACGCGAGCGTTGGCGGGGCTTTGTACAAAAGATCCGAACATGTATTATACAAAGGTTTTATATTCAGAACAATGCTATGTTACGCAGAGCGCTGACAAAAATGTGTTATTTTTAATTCCGGGAATTATTACAAAACAATTACCATTGTTTCGTACTGCCCACGCAAAAGTTGTCATCCGCGAGAAAACGCAAAATTGTTCTTATATAACATGTGTTTCAATGGGATGGTGGATATCAAATTAAAAAAACAGGCGATTTTTATATAAGCAGCGCCAAAAGGAGAAGATGTCGCTGTAATACGATAGTTCTACCCACGGACATACGGTTAAGTGGCAATAAATAGAGGAAAGGACCCTGGGACGGTTCTAGGAAAACTCGACGCGGGAAATTTCGCAGTAGAAAATCTCGCCGCATAGGAAAAATCGCATTATTTAAAAAAGATTTGTTATTTAAGAGCATATCCTAACTGTTTTAATCACAAATACTTGTTCCACATCAAAATGCGTTCCCGATTTTACTATGCGGCGAATTTCCCACGGCGAATTTTCCAGACAGGCTGTGGGAGTATAACGCCGACATCGTGTATTTATCGATTGCATCCGTGCCGCCGTCATCGACATAGACAACTATTACTTATTGGACATGTAGTGGACATAGCGATCGTTTCAATATTATGTTGTTGTTGTTATTCTTGTTCTTTGACACTTTTTGGACACCTAGTGGAAAATCTAAAAAATCGCTTTTCTCTTTGATTACTGGACCAATTGCTCTGAAATTTTCAGTGGTTACAGATAAAATTTTTCTCCAGAAGGCTATTACTTTTATTTATTTCAAATATTTCTGTTAGCTCTGTGAGATTTGTTTTTGTTTGCTATGACGTCACCGAACGTTCTGCGGACATCGGACGCCATTTTGTGTCCGACTGTACTGCTTCGCTTCGCTATATGTGTAGACTGTGATCTGACGGTACGGTAAACCCTACTGTACTTCGAACAGACGTGTCCATATATTTGGGCGTAGCTCTCTTGTTGATATTTTGATCCCGCGCATGTCGTAGCCTACTGTATACCGATGTCAATTTTTCAAGAGTGCATGTGAATTCCCAGACTGTCTTATAATATTGGGTTTCAATAACGCTTGAAGAAAATAGTGGCCAAAAAGTGTGATTGTATTTTTACCGGTGATTTATTATAAATCGCTCGCTATGACCAGCGGTATAATCAGTTTTACAATAGGACGTTTCCGAGTGTTAGATTATAATAAACCAATATGATGAATACTGTTGATTTAATTTGTAGTAAAAGACTTATCACGTTATGCGTGATTCAATAATATAAAAATGGCAATTATTCAAGAAATCATTATTATTATTCAAATTTCAGCTTTTGGTCCGTTATTTTTTCATGGAGTAATGAAATAACTGTCAGTAAATTATTGTCACTTCCGCCAAGTCCATATATGCGGAACAACCAGATTGTAACCGAATGAGAAACTACCCTGTGGTAAAGGAAACTTATGAGCCTTTCGCTTCCTCAGGAAAAAAAAACGACTTATCAGTGATTCTGTGATTCCAAACTAATATGTGGTTAAATTACTCTGAAATGCTATTGAAACAGCTGAACTTTTCCTTTTCCAACTTTGCAATAACAACAAATGTTGTGAGTTGTAAAACATTCATACAACGTGACTTGACAATTCTAATCAAAACACAATGATTCTTTGAGTGGAAGTGACGTCATATACATGATTGGACAAAGTGCGTTACCAATATCAGGAAGTCTGTGGAATTGCAATGCTTTGCAGGGGAACTTGCAGTGAAAGTTGCCAACATTTTAGGACTTCAATTAAAAATAACTGAGCATCAAGTCCAAAGTAAAATTATTCAATACAACTCACATATACCATAGTCGCTGGTTGAAGTATTTTCACAAGAATCTGTCAAAAACGACTTAGACCTCGGAAGCTGCTAGGCTAGGCACAGAAGGATCTCCCTGATTTTTAAATTATCAATATGACCTACATTTCGAGTACTAATCAACACTGCAACGCAACTACAAATTCATTTCTGTAACATTTCGTCAGACTTCCTCAGACAAGCAGCATAACAATCACTAGCGTAAAGGCATTGAGGAAGGATTGGGAGATAGTCTCTCGTAACCTCTACTAATGGCCACACAAGTGTTGAGATTTTTTGGAAGGGGGCTACCAATCATTATATAAGTTAAAACAATTACCTCTAACTTTCTTGTAACCACAGTAAGAGCAGTGGGATCGAGATTGGAAGCCGACAATACTTCGTTCAATTGAGCTTCCTTCTTTTCCAAAGTGTCAGCGAGTGCTGATAACTTCTTTTCTAGAAGTAAATTCTTGAAACCACTCTTCTGCTGAACTTCATGAATTGCTTTTACAAACTTGTTGTATAATTCATCTCTCTCTGCTTGAGTCTGAGGAAATATAAGAGAATGAGGTTAGAGGCCTCTTCTAATTGTTGTTTCTTATTTCTATCAAAGTGAGCTGATAATAACACTATCCTCCGAAGTGAGGATAGTTGGGAACATCATCACTTGGTTGGTGACACAAGTGATAAAATTGAATTGGTATAAATGGTAAATCATGTTTATAATGATGTTATCGCTTATTTCCTTTCTGAAATTGGGCAGCTACGGAAAAATATGAAAGAATTGGGATATTCAAATCTTGCAGATGCAAGTTTAAATCATGCGAGGGATACTCTGTGAGAAATCTTCTTGATCTGTGAGAACCAGACGCACTCAAGTGATGGGAGTGATTATTTGTGAAAAATATTGGTCAGCTTCTTAAGCCTGCTGTAATGGCAGAGTAGCTGATGGTAGACAGGATATATAGGCATCAATAACACAGTCATTATTATTCATTAAATTAACAAACGAATAGGACATACAAGTTGGATGACTGAAAACATTGTCTTTTTTGCCTTCTGCAATGTTATGGTTCATGTAATATCCACAAGTGACATGGGTAGTTATTTTTTTTTTAGAAAATTAATGCTGGAAGATCTCTAATAAATAACACATTCCATTGTAGAGTTAACAATTAAAGCATTACACCAATAGCAATAACAAAGAGATACTTAGTCGGAATCGAAGTGTCTAAGCATATATTGGGCACCTGCTAAATCACCACAGCAACCTTTGACATACAATAAGTTTGCAACTGATAGACAGCCCCACAGCGCCTCCTTGTGGTTGTGGCTGCAATAAAATTCTACCTTCTCAAATCTTTGCTCCAGAACTTCATGTTCCCATTGTAGAGATTTCATTTCTTTCTCCATCAAACGGAGTCTGGCTTTAGCACTCTGAAAATATAAACAATTTGATGGGTCTAATGAAGAATATTATAGAGAATTCATAAAAGATTGAAGCTTATAGGAAACTTAGCAGGATGTGCCAATCATCAGACGGCAATCCCAAATCAGCAAAAAGCGACAACTTACCCCAATCCAATATTTTTAGGAACAACCACTTATACTTCTAGGTGGATCCGCATGCAAGCAATGGATAGGATTTAGATATTTATCCTGAGGAGAGGGTAGCCTATAGGATGATATGGCGAACCACAGCATCTAATTCGGTTACCAGTCACTGTAGGGCAGGGCTCGGCAAACTACGGCCTGCGGGCCAGATCCGGCCCGCGGAACAATATAATCCGGCCCGCGACGCTTCACTGAATTATATTAGGAAAACAACTGTATTGACAATTATATTCTATACGTGACAGAATTTGTTTTGAGACACTAAATTATAATATAACCTAATCACAATCACTCGTTTAATGAGCCTATAAATTGATTATAATTAGACAAATGGCAACAGAACGTAAAAAAGTTGATGCTGAGTGCAAATGGTTTATTGGCACAGAAAATATTCAAATGGCTTTGCGCGCTGCTTGAGATTTAACTGCAATCTGTGTAAAAAATGTGAATCATTGGCCATTCCATCGGTTTTTAACTTTCTAAAAATATCTGCGGCCTGCCAATGACTTGCAACCTTTAATTTTGGCCCGCGAACGACAAAAGTTTGCCAACCCCTGCTGTAGGGTATTGGATTAGTTGTCTAGTTATTTGTTTTCAGATGCCTGAACTTGATGGTGGAGGAAGCTATAACCGACCAGAAGTTACGTGAACCACCCTGCAGAGGCGATGGGCCCAGCTATCCTCTCATACATAATTACCTCCACATCGAATTAGAACCTGCGAACCCACGCAAAGTAATCAGAGGTACGGTGGTATTCCTAATGCTCAGCCTGATGCGCCATATTGTGTATGTGCCGCTCATGTCCTGCTCCAAACGAGACAATGACTTGTTCTCTAGAACATTGGTGAGGCAAATCGAATCATGAGTTATCAGAGTCGTGTCAATCTCTGAGTTAATTCTCACATGCAGTTAGCTGAGTATGAGTCATATTGGCCCAGAGCCTCTCCAACACTGATACTTACTGCCAATGATGCTTTATCCTTCTTATAATTAGCAAGTTGTTTTCTCAGATCATCGACTTCTTCACGAGCTTTTTGTAAAGGCTCAGTCAAACGTTTGTTCTGGAGTTGTATTTCTGCCATTTCTTTCTCCAGTCTTTCCTCTTTTTTTTTCATTTCTTCAATTTGCTCCTGGAATTGGGAACAGGAAAATTAGATATTTGAGGGATTTATTATACAATTTCGAGCGCTCCAGAGGTGTGTGTACCAGTATGGAGGTAATTAATTTTATTCACCTACTTCACATCAAGTTGTGTAAAGGGACTGAAGCTTATGGGCAGGTGGTGTATTCACTTGGCTAACACAGATAGTCCCCGAACTCGGAATAGAACTAAAATATGGTAAATCGAAATAAAATTATGGCCTAATCCTAAGCTGGTACACACACAATACTGGAATATCCAAATTTCGAATGTATTCGACTATAATTATGATTCGTTATCCCTCTTTAAAAGCAATATACACAGAAGTATTTCAATAAAAATTTCAGGAGTTTCAAAATCCATTCACCTCATTTTCTCAAAGCAGTTTCAAGTCTTGCATTTTGGGGTTGAATCGCTTGAATTGACATTTCTAGGAATCATAACCAAAGCTTCTTACCTTTAATGAATTGATGAGAGCCAGATTGTTGAGTGTGATGTCGTTGTAATAATTTTTGATATCGGAGAATGCTTTCTCGTGGTTTCGCATGAGTGCATTTATCTGGCCGTTCTTTCGTTCTTCAATTTCATGAATTTCTGTCTTTCGTCGAAGTTCAAGTTCGTCCCGAAGTACACGCATCTTGCGCTCATATTTCGATTCAATTTCTGAATTTGTAAAGAAAGAAGACCATTGTTTCAATTGAATAGCTATTTTTCCAGCACTATTTACTTATAATTACGGAAAAAAAAGCCTTTTCACCTGTGTATTGTCACAATGTAAAATTAGGGTTTGTGTGTTTCTAATTTAATGGTACAATGCATCAACTACCATGTTTCCCAAAAATAAGTCATATTTCGATTTTCTTTCGAAAGTTGACACTAGGGCTTATTTTTGGGTGATGTTTTTTATTTTAATGTTTCAAAAACAAAATTACAAAGTGGAGAATTACGAGATTTTCAAATACAGTATATGCTCGTTTTACCGCCCGGTCTTGATTAAGGGCTTGTTTGAATAGCCACCCGTGTGAACAGAACATAAAAATAAATAAGGGCCGGTGCTGGAATACCCGCCCGATGTAAAAGCTGATTTTTCAGTGGTAGAGAACAATAGGAAATAAGAAGCGCTTTTGTCACAACGCTGTTGAATTTTAAGCGCCGGTAGATAACACTAACACCTCGGGCGTCCAATAGGCCTACAGAACAGATACCATTGATTACGTAACACCATGGTTCTCAAACTGGGCCCGGGCTACAAAACGAGCAAATTCGGTATACAAAATTGGAAAATTGGTGTCAATTTACTTATAAATAACATGTTTCCATTTAAAAAAGACCGGGTTAGGTCTTATTTTCGGGGAAACATGGTATCAAGCCAAAAGTTGACACTACATACCTCTTGCTTGTCTTTCGAAATCTTCTCTCAACTGAGTGATGTGTTCGTCTTGTTTCTAGGTTGAGGACGGGAAAAGAAATTGAGATATTTGGATACTATGAAAATACAATTCAAAATATATAACACTCATAACAATACTAGAGGAGATCAGCTTAGAAAATTAAATTAAAACAGACTACCCAGGTACCTAGTACCCACAATCCTACAGTTGCAAAAACATTGCAAACTCCTATTAATCTGTACATACCGTTACACATCAAAAGTCAAAAATATAACTAACTGATATCAAGAGAATAGTATAAAAATAATGATGATGCATAGTGGAGTGAAAAATGTTGGGCAAAAAATGTTGCACAGCAATGTACCTTCTAATATTTGTGCAAAATACATCGAAATACGTCTGTGCGCAGTAAATCTATGCGTGCGAGCGGCCTCTGAAAGCTGTGTGCGCGCGCACACTTTAGAGGGAACACTGCTGCACAGCGATGGTATTTCTAGGTAATTTACCTTTCATATATTCAAATTTGTCAATAAGTAATTAAAATTGAGCTTGTAATGAATCTTTAAATTATTTAAAATTACCATGTAAAATGAATAGTTTTCATTGAACAAAATAATGAAAAGTTAGTCTCATACCTTCACAAGATTCTTCACAGATTCCTCATGAGATAATTCCTGTTCTTTCAAATTGACCTTCAATGACCTTTTATCTTTTCTGAGGTCTGTCTCCTGTAACCTGTGATCTTCCTGCGATAACTTCAAAGCCACCGAACTCTCTGCTTTCAATTCTGAAATGTTGTTCTGATGCTCGTACAGAAGATGTTTGACTTTTTGCTTGTATACCTGAAATACACAAAGATCAAATAAGACTACATAGATGGATTAGTTTAGTATTGAAATTTGAAGAAAAGCCCACATGACAAAGGTAAATGCACAAATAAAAACAAGTAAGAATTTTATAGACTTTTATGACAATAACATTCGTCAAATCAGAAATGAAAAAAACTTATTTTAATAATGTCCATCCGTTTTATGATTTTAATAAAATATGCAGAGCACATCATCTCTAAATTTCTTATAATGCTGTGGTCATATGTGTGTAGGACATAATATAATAGCTTTAGGTGAGTGAACCTATACCGGTATATGACATTATGACAACAACTTTTTATTGAATTTCATTTTGAACCTTTTATTGCCTTTGGTATTGGTTTTGTTTGCTATTCTGATTCTGTTCTGTTTTTTTTTTGTACCTATTTTTCGTCTGTTATGCTGATTATGTAAGTTAAAAACAAACTTTACATTTACCGGTACTCTCAATTCGACTATTTTCACAGGTGGCTTAATTTTGTCTGCCATGTCACAGACAAAATTATAGCACGAAGACATACAAATTGATGAAGGACTGGTTCTCCATATAAATAGGTCATCATTTATAATGATGAATATAAGATAGGATTAGGATTTACATATTTATCCTGGGGAAGAGGAAAGTCGATAAGACGGCTTATCCATATGGCGAACCACGGCCTCTCGACCGGTTACCATTTTAAGTCTGGTATGGGATTAGTCATATTGTTTGTTTTCGGAAGCATGGACTTGGTGGTGGAGGAAGCCGTAACCGACCAGTGGTTACGTGAACCACCCAACGACGGCGAGGAGTCCAGCAATCCTCTCGCACATAACCATCCCTGCATGGGATTCGAACCTGCGAACCCAGTATATACAAATGAGACAAACCTTGATTTCAATCTGATGTCTTTCTTCTGAATCTTCCATTTCTCGATCTTTATTTCTCAATTCAGCTTTCTTCTCTTCCAATTGCCGCTTCGTGATTTCCCAAAATGTGTTGACCTGAAAATTTTTTTTTGAAAAATATGATTAATTGTTATACTATAATCACTTCATTAAAACCTTTTGTTGGAGGATTTTTATTAAAAAAGAAAACTTGCAGCAGCATCTACCAGTGTTGTGGAGGCTTGTGCCACCATTTATTAAAAACTTATGTGTGAAAATTTATCGGACTCAAGACTCGATTTTGTGTTTAATCTGCTTTCCTGCAGTTTTTAGATCCCAGCCTTTTTCTATAGTATGTAAAATTTGGTTGCTTAAATTATTGCATTTAAAATATCGCCTTTCAGGCCTTGTGCTACTTAAAATTTGACTTTATAATATCCCTGTAAAAAGAAATAAACAAAGCAATAAGAGTGTTATATGATAACTTGGCCACTTGTAATCACTGATGGCAATTTCGTTCCATGACCTGTGACTCGAGATTTAGGGACCTTCACGCAGATCTACTCAGATGAAATGATCGGAAAGCACAAGATCCTACTTATCACTAGTTTAATTGACAACCTTCCACAAAATTATTAGGACTAACAAAGATTTTAAAAAATTTATGATGATATCTCTTGTTATTTGAGACGTAGCTAATGAATTTGCTTCAAAATGAGTCTCGTTTACATCTATGTGATTTCACTTTGTTCCTTTTTTTTTCAAAAAAAGATTCAACACAAGAAAATCCATTGTTATTGTCTCAGTTCATAATAGTAATTATTGTGTAATCCTATTCAAAACGGTTCCATTACATTCGAACCCACGTACATTTGAACCCATGTCAATTGCACCTGTATGCTATTGCACCTATGGAATTTTTTTTGTTTCACGGATAGTTAAACCCATACCAACCCTAACCCATGGGTTTTAGCACCCGCATATAGATTGAACCCGTGGATATACGCATGGGTTCAAATGTACGGTCACCATTCAAAACAAACCTTGTCTCTCTCAAGTTGAAAATAATTTCTCTCTTCCCTCTCTCTTTCCAATTCTTCACGAAGTCGACCAATATGCTCCTCCAACTATTGAGAAGTATAAAGTTTAAAAGATAAAAAGGATATACAGCAAAAATAGATGGTTTATTATTATGGTTTAGTATAGGGTTTTCCAAACCGAGGTCCGGAATGAGTGCACAGATGATATGAAATGAGTCTGATCAATCTTTATTGGTTGATTTCAATCAAAAAGCCATTGTATTTTTTTGGTTCTGCCTTGCGAACGAATATCCATTGCTTTTAGAAAAAGCAACCAAAATTTTATTGCTTTTTGCAACGACCAACATACATGTGTGAGGCAGCAGTTGGTTAGGCACAGAAATTGATGAGGCATAGGATGGGGGTCCATCAAAACTAACATTCATAAACAGGGGTTTGCGGCACAAAAAGTTTGAGAAACCCTGGCTAGGTATATAACATATGCCTGTGTATAACTTTTAATTGATTCTTAACCGACTGGTTTTAGGTGATTCATGTCTCACACAGTTACTTGGGACAAAGCTAAGCATATGAATCCACCCAAGTTAAAAAAACTAATAGGTTTGGAAATAATGGAACCAACATGATGCTCATGATTGGTCGGCCAGATGGTCGTCAATGCCCAGGAATACATTTTGATATTTATGAACTGTTTGTGAAGGCTACATACTAAAAACTTTTCAGCATGAAAATGAACCAACTAGCTAGCTTGTGAAAATCAATCAACACATGATCACAAGATCAATAACCAAAATTTTTGTGCCTGCAATTACTAGAAAGTGTATGTAAAATGAAGGTGCGACACACAGTTTCACCGAATGATTAGTATCTGGCCATCCTGTACATCCCTGTTTTATAGAAGTACAACTATTTTTCAAAATTAAGATCCCAAATATGCAGGTTGCACACCCCTGGTTTATAGCAAACTTTTTTCAAATGAAATTTTCAAAATTAGGATTTGAAAATGGTTTAAACATATTTACTTAGAACATACCTGCTCCTTTGACATTTCTTCAGTTGACATTCCATCTACGACGGTTGGGGTTTTGGGCTTCTTTGCAGATTTTTTGCCCTTTTTTCCCTTCTTCCCTTTTTTGGGAGGCTGCAAAAGCATGAAACAATTAGAAAATAGCCAACTACAGTACAATGATTTTGTGTGAAGAGATTGCTGGATTTTTAATTACAGTTGGAAACTTATAATCTGAATTTCAACTTTGTAAGCCAGAATTTCAAACTCCTGACTCCACAAATTTCAAAATTGTGACTTCATTTTTGACTTCAATAAGACAGAATAAGCTTCTGGAAAAAGTAGTAGCATATTCCTAACGCTTAGCACGATGCGCCACACCGCCGAGCCTATTTTGAACTCATTCAAACCCTAGTTAGTTAGCCAAAAAGAGTATAATTTATAGGAAATGATGGAATTAAAACAAGAATAATCAAAATTGAAAGCTTAATAGAATAATTGATAAACTCTTCCATTGTCCAGGTGCTAGAGTCGCCAAAATCATTGGCTTCCTAAGCTCCAGAGTTAAAAACAGTCGGTTATTCATAATCAAGATTTTGAAATAAAGTTATATAACACTAAAACTTATATGACACTTACCATTATGAAGATTTGCCTTTCGAAATGCAACCAGACGGGAAAACTTGGAAGGCAGCACCAAAAAAGTAAAGCAAGGCGAACAAGCACGGAAATCAAATTTTCTCTCGGTGTTACTATGGTAATTTTCGTATTTACGTGAGTGATATTTCACGCATGATATCTCTCAACAATGAACGAAAATGAGTTTTAAAAAATAAAATTACAAGGATTGGAATTAAATAGACATGTAATACATGTTATAAAAAATGTTTTACGTAATATAAGAGTGCAATCTAATACAAAAAAACTAATGTGAACAAACAAGTTCAAAAAAAAGGTCAGCGAGCCGTAAAATGTATATACAATTTCTGTGACTCGGAGCCGTGTGGGCGCGTGGCGCAATGGATAACGCGTCTGACTACGGATCAGAAGATTCCAGGTTCGAATCCTGGCGTGCTCGCTTTTTCATAAAATCAATTTGGGATCATTTCTTCCCTCATAAAATAAAATAATAAATTAATATTCTCTGAAAACAAAAATATCACTAAAAGGCAAACCCTCGTTACGATATTCAATAAATTTATAAGTTAACTAACATAAATAAAAACAAATTTATGGATCTAACGTTTGAAATATCTCACGACGTTCAATTTCTGATAAAATGCAATATATTGACTAAAAAAGCAAATAAGATATGAAATGCAAGTTGAAAAATAACTACATGCGAAAGATTCAGATAAATTATTTTTATCATGCAAGAATCAATGCAAACACAACACAAAAGTGTATAACGTAACGCCGTACCCCCTTCTTATATTATTATATCTTTGGAACTGTTACGTGTAACCCATCAAATAAATAATCATTGTGATTAATCGAGGTAATAATCTATACACAGCCTTTGTTTCCTCATGACTCCCGAATGTCTTGTCATAATAGGAATTTTTCTTTTTTTAGGGGTCGGTGGCCATAGTTGACCTTGCAGTCTCGCCCGTCCCCTCCCGATTATATTCTATAATTGTTCTTTTCCATTTATTGTAATTTTACATTTTTTGATATATTCGGAAAATAAATCATTATCTATCATCTAACGGAATTGAAAACAAAATTGAAATATACACGTAAAAATAACGTCAGAAAAACAAGACTTTACAAAAGTTTGTGTGCGTCAAATACCTCCAACTGCCACCCATAGGTCAATTAGTTCGAGTTTAATATCTTGTTTAATAATAAGAGCATTTTTGCTTCGGTAACCGAATGCTTAAAACCTATTCAAATATGGGACAGATAGAGAAAAGTGCGTCGACCGGGAGTCGAACCCGGAACTATTGCTTGGAAGGCAACAATGCTAACCGTTACACCATCGACGCGACGAGATAGGTATATCGAAATATCTTATATAAATAAGGAGAGAATTGAAAAAACGCCCGACATTCTCTCAATCGTAATATCATTAAGTAATTTAAGATGGTCATGTTTGACTACGCCATTACATATTAAAGGTTAAAATTCCTCTCGCATCAGTCCGCGGAATGATAAGACGGCTATAAGATAACGGAGTAGTTTTTAGTTTTAAGAACTTGGAGTAAACCTCCATGCGATCACGGATATCTTTAAAACGGGTTATCACGGACAATTTTTGGACGAAAATGAATAAAACGTCCTACCGACTCCTATTATTATATTTCTATCATATTGTATTTACTCTACGATGACTAAGAGCCCGGCATAACCCTCTCTTCCACGAAATCCGGGAAAGAGTATCTCCGATAAGACAGTAAAAACCCCGATAGCATGCGAACAACCGCAAAGCGATTAGGCTTACAACTTTGCGTCTCAAAAAAGGTCTTTCGTCAAAAATGTATTTTTTGGCAAACCTAGCTCTGAACTTTCCAGCGTGACATCTAGATTTTCTCAAAATAACTAAATTTTCTTTTGTCATTAGTATTATCTACTCGAAACTATTTTTATACGTCGTTTTATTACCTTCTTTCTGAACAATGCCTAACCCAGTATGCAATGATATTTAAAAAGTTGCTATTTTTTGGAACCTAACAGAATTGCCCACATAATTCATTGCAATCAAGACGAGGTCGTGGGAACGGGAGTCACATGAAACGATCTGAGCCATTGAAGAGGAGGCGACTACTCTGATTAATAACCATTTGACAGATAATTACAAAAATACCAGCTTTTCTCTTCAAAGTTAGTTTTCTGGGTCAAACAATAATAAAAATTCAGATGTAGAGGCTGCAGCAACAGATTGTAATTTACATTCACAATATTTTGTAAGAGACATGTTTCACAGAAACAAGATTGGTAGCTTATGGAAATCATTACTTTAGCGAATATCAGACACCCCATGTTCAGTCAGTGAACAAGAAGCATTGTACAACTTAAAAAACAGTTGATAGACATAATAAAATAGAGCAAATTCCAAACTTCAACTATAACACAACCAGCTTCACAGTTCAGCCAATCATGAATATTTTCTACGGGACTTTAATATCATCAAAAATTATCGATTTTTTGAATGGATAATTCTTTCTGTTATCATTCATGTCATATTCTAAGAGTATTTAAAACAGAACCGTGGTTTTATTCATTTTAAAAAGACTGCCAAACAGTGTTCCCTCTAAGGTGCGCGTGCACACAGCTTTCAGAGGCTGCGCATACGCATAGATTTACTGCGCACAGACGTATTTCGATGTAATGTAACAATGTGCTCGGTTGGCAGGTTGAGAAAGTTTGTTGTTGGCCCACTTATTACCCGGTTAGAATGCCAAAATTTCTTCATTGCTTTTTGCACAAATATTAGTCATTTCCAAAAAAGTGCGCACACACCAAAATTTCTGCGCAGACATACTACAAAAAATTAGAGGGAACATTGCTGCCAAAAGATATAAAGAATCAAATTGTTCGTTTTCCATGTAACAGACTCGAATATTATTATTAAAATGATAGGACACCCATTTAAAGTTTATTAGTCTCACCCTAAAATGAGATAACACCCTGCTTAATATACAAGGGAGGTTTTGTTCACTGTTAGGAATTCTCAATCCTATTATATCTCAAACTATTTGTCTATGTTCTATGCAAGTTTACCGAAGGTCATAAACAACAATGGACTCTGGCGAACATGTTACAGAAAATAGGCTGCATTTAGTTTCAAGTGGAAAGCAAAGAGAAAGGAAAACATATCAGCAGACAGAGCAATATTTCATTGACAAAATTTCCTAAGAAATAAATATCAAAAAACAAATAAGTTACTCATACAAAACTGAACTCAAAATGTACAAAGGGGAAAAAAATGTACAACATCTCAAAGTCAAGGATTCACACAAAGAACAAATTAACCTAAATACTCAACACTCATTCATTACATAGTCATAGCTAAATATTATTAGAGTTTTAATATTGGCTAGCAAAAAAGTTTTGAGACTAGATAAGTATTTAACGATGTGTATATACAATGGTCTTATGATCAATTTAACCCTCGTATGAATTCCTAAATCGGAACAAGTCTTGGAAACCTTATTTTGAACTCCACGAAAAATATAGATTGAATTTACCTATTCTTCACAAAAATAGCAAGTTTGGGGAAGTAAAAGCCACTGTTTCCACGTGCGGGTCGTGAAAAGTTCAAAAGGAATGAGAAGTTGGACCAATAGTTCGTACAATTTGGAAAAATAATTTATAACTTTGTATATTTCATTAAATATCACCAATAAGTGTATCGTGAATAATGACACCAAAATAAATTTGGTTTCCAAAATCACCTATGAATATTTACACAAAAACGGCTTCGAAATTTCCTAATATGTGTATAACATCTCAAATTGTTTCCAAAGTTTAGGGATCTTCTCATTAATCTTGATCCCAATGGTCAACTTCTTCTTTATGTCCATTAGACTGTGCAGTATTTTTTTCAGTTTTTGGTGACGACTTCTTAGCTGCGACAATTCCGACAATCATGTTCTTTTTTGGAACTGCTTTCTTCTGTACAACTGCAGGTTTCTTTTTGTCATCATCATCATCACTGTATAAAATCAGAAAAAACATGATTTCCGAATAAATTTGACATTTTTATCTTCAAATTATCGCATGGCCATGACAATAACACTGAATTCTAAATGGTAAAATATGCGCTTTGCAGAAATTAAGCAGTCATTGGAATTGCTGCCAAGAGCTTTGACTTGGAAGGAAACAGATTATTCGATAGTTTTCGGTGTTAGATTCGGCTAATGAAGAAAGCTTGGAACATTTGAAAATTAAGAAATTTCACGCATACTGTGAACCAACAATTTCTGAGTTTAAAGATACAAGTAACTCTTACCTGTGATGATCAGCACTTCGTCCCCTGGAAGAAAAAGAAAGATATTAATTGATGCAAATTATATGACACATTAGTAAACGTTGGACCTAATTATGTTGGCGTTGCAGGTTTAAAGATCTTTGTTCAACTACCATTCCTGATTGCTGTACTAGAAAGTGTTCAACCCTTTAAACAATAGTAGAACCATAATGTATCCATGGAGAGATGTGTGAGAATGGCCCATTAGAAATTGACAACTGATACCAGTCGAAAGTTTTCACCTCATTTGCAATACATTTAACAAATCATACAAATTCCATAGAAATTTGTTTTTTAATATGTCAACAAGTCACTAATCTAAAGCTGGTGACTATTTATTTGTAATTCATTAATTGATCTGAATACTTTAGTAAGCCGCAGACAAAAAACAATTTCCCATTTAGAATTAACGGCGTTCCCGTAGTATGTGTACCAGGTTAGGGTTAGGCCATAATTTTATTCCAATTTTCCTTATTTTAGTTCTATTACGAGTTGGGGACTAGCCGAATGATTCCCGTAGTATTTGTACCTGAAATTATGGCCTAACCCTAACCTGGTACACTTGCTACGTTCCGGTGTTCGCCATCTTGGTTTACATACTACAGCAGAATTTTTTTTTACCATGACTGTTTATTTGTAATTCAACGATACATTGATCGATCTGTACCCTTTGGTAAGCCACAGACGAAACTGAATTTCCCATTTAGAATTAACGAGCTTTTTTTTTAATTGACATCGCACTTACTTAGACAAATCTTTATCCTCCTTCATCACTCTCTTCTTTAATGAATCCTTGTAAGCAATAATTCCTTTCGTCCATGGTGTCACGGTTCGCTTTTCACAAATCCAGATATCTTTTGCCACCTGAAACCATTGTCAAAATGCGAGATAAGTTGAAAGTTTGAAAAGATTCCTATATACCCTTCTTAGTATGCGCATAGCGGACATAGTCTTCTTACTAGGGGTATAGCGGACATAGCCATTTTAGTGAGGACATGACAGAATTAGCAACTTTAGTGGAGACATAGCCATTTTATATATATATATATAGCGTAATTGAACAATAAAAACATAGATAGTTAGAAAAGAATTTAAATGCACTTTCAAAACAATTTCAATAATCCAGATTTACTGTGATTCAAGAAAAAAATGTAGAAGAAGACTGAAGATATTGCTCAACCATTTCGTCAGATAAGACCTAATCTGTTGAATATTTCAGACATTTGGGCACAGTGGTGCTTAGTGAAGCAAGACCAGTAGCTATCTTCATATATAGCACTCATGAGTACTCCCGTGGTATGTGAACCAAGATGGAGGACACCGGAACGCAGTATGTGTACCAGGTTGGGGTTAGGCCATAATTTTATTCCAATTTTCCTTATTTTAGTTCTATTATGAGTTCGGAGACTAGCCAGGTGACTCCTGTCGTATTTGCACCCAAAATTATGGCCTAACCCTAACCAGGTACACATACTACGTTCCAATGTCCGCCATCTTGGTTCACATACTACATGAGTACCCAGAAAACAGTACATTTGTGAAACTTACCACACTGTTCAAACCAGATATCAAGTCATTAAATGAAACCCAAAACTCAAATTACAGAAACATACCTGACTAATGAGCCTAAAATCGTGAGACACCAGTATCATTCCACCGTTAAAATCCAGGATGGCTTCCGCAAGTGCATCGATAGTTTCGATATCCAAGTGATTAGTGGGTTCGTCAAGTAGTAAGAGATGAGGATTCTGCGAAGCCAACCACGCGAATACAACTCGACACTTTTGGCCATCTGATAACTTCGAAATAGGACAGATCTAAAAATTTGAAAACGAAACTGTAAAACACAAAGAAAAACAACACAGAACAGGTTTCAACCAAAACAAGTTTAATTATATGACAAAACCATGGTGTCCAGCATTTTTTAGCATTGTTGGAGTCTGACTCCAACAAACTCAATACCCAGAGATTTATGGGGTTGAAATTATGAACTCTTGGCAGACTTTAAGCTTCAGATGCAATAAAACTTGTTGGAACTAAAATTAAAAAAAAAAAAAATCTGCAGGCAACTATGCTCTTCTGAAAAATTTCAGTGGCAGATTTAGCCCCAAATTTTGAATCAAAATCCATATTTAAAGTCTCCTCTTGACACTCACCAAGTACCCTATCGCTTATGACCTTGAATACTATTAATTAATATTGACATTTTCCCACCATGCTTAGGTTAGATTAGCGAAATGGTTGGCAGTTATTGCTAAATGGCTGACCATCTGTCACCTTCCCCAGTTCATTACAAACCTGTTGTTTTCCACTTAGTCCGTATCTTCCAATGATTCTTCTCATCTGTTCAATTTCTTTGATTTCAGGATAACATTTCATCATATAGTCAAGGGGTGAAAGATCAAGATCGAGTTGATCAGTTAAATGCTGTAAAGAGTTCGATATAATGTAAAATAAGACTCCTGATTTTGGTTGCAATGAGCTGTTGAAAATAGTTTTATCTAGTCATATATCGAAGAATTAAAGTCTTAAGTCGCTTGCCACTCTTTTATTGCAGTTTAAAATTTGGTAGGAAGACCTGGGCTATTTCTTGCACTGAGCAATTATACATCCTCATGATCAAGGACAGACATAGGTCCATAAATAGAAGAATAAAAAGAAATAGGCATTTTGATATATATAGGCATATAAACAAGTATAAGTAAAAGTCACAAATGTAAATGGTCTTACCTGATGATATCTTGCTATCTTAAGATGACTGTGTCTTCGTATTAATCCATCACTGGGCACGAGCTAAATGAATACAAAATTTTTTTATTATTTCTAAGATTGGAGATGCGGAAAACACAAACTAATTTCTGAAGCCTAAAAATACAGCTGATATTTAATATCAACAGAAAACATGCAAAAAAAAATTTTATTCCAGTTTTGATAATTTAAAATCAAATATTCTCAAAATTATATTATTTTTGTGCTGCCTTTGTCCCCCTCCGAAGAATAAAACAGAATAAAATTGAAACGTGTTGTACTTTTGGCATTACAATTTTTTCAAGTCACCAGTTTAAATTCTGACTTTCACTATTCGATAAATTACCCAAATCAATCAAAAAGACGGTATCTCAATATAATAAAATAAACCAGAAAAAAAGAAAATCAATCATTGAATCATACCTCTCCTGCAATTAGCTTTAATAAAGTTGATTTTCCAGCTCCGTTGGGGCCAACAAGAGCAAGCCTTGTATCAAGATCAATTCCAAATTCAAGATTTTCGTAGATTAAAGGCTGAGATAAGAATAAAAATGATGAATTAGTAAAACATTATTCGTATGTAACCAAATCAGCTAAAAACTAGTTTCGCTGTGTCCTAACAGCAAGAACTAGCACTTAAAACACCCTTTAAGACTCATTTAAATGTTTTCCCATGTAGATAGTATAAATCAGCCAGTAGATAGTATAAATCAGCCAGTAGATAGTATAAATCAGCCAGTAGATAGTATAAATCAGCCAGTAGATAGTATAAATCAGCCAGTAGATAGTATAAATCAGCCAGTAGATAGTATATATCAGCCAGTAGATAGTATAAATCAGCCAGTAGATAGTATAAATCAGCCAGTAGATAGTATAAATCAGCCAGTAGATAGTATAAATCAGCCAGTAGATAGTATAAATCAGCCAGTAGATAGTATAAATCAACACTTTCGCATCCACATGCATTTAGAATTTGACATAGAAAAACTGACAATTTAGACAATTTTCTGAGAGGGCGTGGAGCTAATTGATAACAAAAATATTTGTTAGATTTGATCTTGTCCGCCTTATTTGGGATATATACTTTTCAAAAATATTAATTCATTTCAATATTTACTTTCCATCCACGTATTTTCAACGTATTTTTTGAATAAAACATACTTTCGCCTTACTATCTGTTATTTGTTGCCTATCGGTAGCTAGTTTCCAATGAGCTGGGGCGCTAGACTTGACAAACAAATTCTAAAAAGGGGCCGAGGGCCTTTAAAAGTTTGAAAACCACTGTTTTAGAGTATAAAGCCGGCAAATAGATTTGGGAATTTGGATTAGAATAACGATTATTTAACTTCTCTGTAATATTAAAATCATCTCCATAGCTATATAATGATTTACAGTAATGGCATGTTGTACAACACTAAATTTAAAATGATTCAATAGGCTAATCAACGACATAAAAAAATAGGAAAAAAAATATTTCCAGGATGTGGATGCGGCTTTTCTGCAAAAAATATCCCTGATACAGAACTGTTTTTCAATTAAAAGCAGGAAACAAGCAGAAAACAACCTCAGTTCAGAGTCGGTAAAATAAAACTTACAGTTTGATCATTGTATCTGAAACTGACATTCTGAACCATCATGACAGGTGGAGCTAGTTTTCCGCATTCAGGAAAGAAAAAACTAATTCCATTATCAGATGAAACTCTCTGTGTCAAACCTGTAAGAAACAAAATAAATTTGAGTTGATATTCCCCAAAAAAGCTTGACTCAATCAGGTGTTTCCACATCCAAACTTTAATCTGAACACTTTAAGTCAGTGGTTTTCAACCTCTTCGGTGGAGTAAAACCAAAATGAAACATTGCACATTCCTGAGACCCTTGTGCAATAGTGTGAATTGTATAGGCTATGAATACATATAATAGCAAGCTAATACTGTCAAAACAGAATGATTTTTTTTAAATGTAGCGAAGTTTAATCTTAGGGGCAATCATGATGGCTATTTGATCGTATAATTTGTATTTTTACATCTCGGAGGTTATCATGTTTTTAGCATAGAAGTTGAACTATGACAAGGAATGCAAAAACTTTACCTTTTTCAACCATTTTAGCTAAAGTCTTTTCTTTACTTTGTGCTTGTTTTGCTAACTTGGCACTTCCGTGACCAAACCTAGCGATGTAGTCCTGGAAACATGAAAATTTAATTTGTTGAACTTTTATTAGGAAAATGAAGTGAACTTGCAAAATATAAATTTGTGTGATAAATTATTCAGCTACGCATCATATCACATGGATCAAAGATGCAATGATCCATAGATAACATAATTCATTGCTAATCATAGCAATGGAATATAAATGCAAAATCTCCAATTCCACCCCAGTAAATATCAAACTACATTGCTTACAAGTTACCAAGCCCGCCCTAAGACTCGCACCGAGCAGTGTAAATAAACTGTATTAATTTGGAGATATGACACTTTTTTGAAGGGGAGTTTCACACAAGGTTCTAAAGAAGCAGCACCCATTGATAGGTGAGGAGATAACAGTTTGCAAACTTTGCACTAATGAAAAATGTAACTATAATTACAATTACTAACACAGTATACAGAGATCGAACAAATAACCTACAAATACTAGTACTGATTTACTGATGTTCGAAAAGAAACTATTCATTCCTTGAAGCAAGAATTTGAAATCAAATATAATCAATTTCGAATTGATTTGAGTTTGTATATCATTCCAAACACTCTGTGGGTATCACGCTTCAAGTATTAGTTTGCCACAATGCTTAAATAATTGTATCTAACTGCTTGAATAGGTTTTACTCGAAATACAAAACATCACAATTCATAACCGACCTTCATGTGAGAAATCTGATCCTGTTCCCACTTATATCTCTTCATTTGATTTTCATCAAGTTCAAGTTTTGTACGAATGAATGCATCATAATTACCCTGAAAACAAAGTTACAAGTAAAATAAAAGCAAATCAAATCGAATATACAAATATAAGAATTTGATTTCGAGGTTCGAAATAAAGGAAATATAAATATATATAGTTTATGCGAAAGAGGAATTCTATTCATTAATTATTCTTTTGCAAAATATATTGTTTAATTACACCAAAACTAAATTTATTTAGATGGGTAACTAAATTCTTGACAAGATGTTGAATAAGTTATCAGCTACTGTAGAGGCAATGGGTACTCGCGTAGTGCGTGTACCAGGTTAGAGTTAGGCCATAATTTTATTCCGATTTTTCTTATTTTAGTTCTATTACGAGTTCGGGGACTGTCTGTTCCCAAGTGAACATCCCCCTGCCCATAGGTTTAAGTCCCTTTACACAACTGTAAAGTAGGTGAACAAAACTAGTTACCCCTATATTGGTACACACACTTCTGGAGCGCCAGACAATGACCTCTTTAAAAACTGTGATCATAGAAAGCACAACAAAGCTGGAACCTTAACTCCATATTTCAGTCTAATTCTTAAAATCCAAGAAAGTTTTTCATGCATTAGTAAAATTGAAGGTAATCAATGCGATATTTACCGAAAAATAAGACAATTTCTTCTGTGTCATGTGTATCATATTTGTGCAAACTCCGTTTAAAAAATCTTGAGAATGTGAAATTAATACAAGAATGTGCTTGAATCTGAAAAAAAAAATAGTCTTCAATAGCACAGGCCAGTAACATCGTCACCAACTAATAGGGCCTGGAAAAAGGCAAATTTTGTTACTGATAGTCCACCCTTTTCAATTCTTTATTTAGAAGACTACCGTATTTGCCTGTTTTGTAGCCCGGGCCCATATTTTTTCAACCAACTCACTAACCGGGCCCTTATTCAAGCACGGGCGCTTGGTATTTTCGATCGTTACAATAATTGATATATATTGTTATTTCCAGTTCTCAAGTATGATTCAAACGAGACTAACGAAAATATTGACTTTTTCTACGCATCGCAGGTACAAATCCGATCTGGCGGTAAAACGAGCATAGTCCAGATTTTTCTTGATTTAGCATACAGGCAAGCAAGAATTACATTTTGGTTAATGTGAAGGTAGGCATGGGGTTTGAAATTGAAAGAAAAGTAATTTTGTCTTTGATATATGTCATAAAAAAAGGAAAAGACATTCAATTGTGGAGAATTGAAATTTACCCGTAAGGCCGTAACCAAGTGGAAATGATTAAAACAGAAGTTAGGAAATAATTCGATATCATGCCTTCTATCATGCTAAATTAAGCAAATGAAACGAAGTCAGGTGAGCATTGAGAATCGAAAGTGGAAATACTACTTAATTAAAAAAATTGGCCTGTTAAAAACACATAATTACATGTTTGAATGGGAGCAAATATGTTGCCAATTTGGTAATCACTAGAATATTCGGTAATATTCAATTTGTGGGCACAGTGGTCCCTTGCCCGCCAGCTTGCCCGGGCTGAAATTCCAGAGCAGAAATATTCCGTACCTTGCAAAAATACCTGCAAAGATTTAATAGCTTGAATCTATTGGATTATAAAAAAATTCTCACGTTTTTAATTCCTCTTCCAGCCACACACAGGCGTCCAAGTCCAGATGATTTGTCGGTTCATCAAGAAGTAGAAGATATGGTTTCACAAACAATGCTCTGAACAGAAATATGAACTGATAATAAGTGATTCTACCGACAATCTAAATTGGGTGCTCCCGAAGTATGCGAACCAAGATGGCGGACATCAGAACGTAACATGCGTAACTGGTTAGGGTTAGGCGATAATTTTTTTCCAATTTTCCTTATTTTAGTCCTATTATCAGTTCGAAGACTATCCAAGAGCCTCCCGTAGTATTTATACCTAAAATTATGGCCTAACCCTAACCTAGTACACATATTACATTCCGATGTCCGCCATCTTGGTTCGCATACTTCGGGAGCATCCTTAGTCTAAGCCTGGCATGGGCAAACTACGGCCCGTGGGCTAAATTAGGTAATTCAATCTGGCCCGCCTGACGCTGCCACAACCAAACCCAAACTAAATTTTAATGTTTCAGCTGAAAAATAACACAAGGAATTTGCTGATATTGCGATTAAATTTAGTTTTGGACCAAAGCTTTTTGTTTTATATTACTGCTTTTATAACACTTTACATATTGTTCGTGAAATGTAACTCACATCACACTTACATGGCCCGCCAGTAAGTGGAAATTTTGGGTTCCTGATCCAAAAACCTTGCCAAACTCTGGTGTTAGCCATCGGGAAGGAATTTTGCCCTGTATTTGATGTAGTATTACTGATATTCTTAGTTCTTTATTATTACTAATTACTATAATGCTTATTTCTGCAAATATCCTAAACAACATGAACTGAAAAAAGGTGGACGTGTTGCTTGCTCATAACTCTACCTTAGAATCCATTAAATGTGAATGAATAAAGTAGTTTTTATGCAAAGTTCCAAATAAGCGAAAGGGCCAAATTTAACGAAAAACATTGGAAACCAGGCTAGAATTTACATATTTATTCTGAGAAGAAAAGGCGATAAGACGACTTAATCACATGGGGAACCACGAATGTGTATGATGTAACACATTAATCCCGGTGGTGAGGAAACCTGATAAGATGGCCTAATCACATGGGGAACCACGGCTTCTCGTCCGGTTATCAGTTCGATATGGGATTAGTTACCCAGTCATCTGTTTCTAGATGCATGGACTTGCAAGGTGAAGGAAGCCGTAACCGACCAGCGGTTACGTGAACCACCCACTGCACTATGTCATCAAACCCTCATTCAAGGCTCAGAAAATTCTCACCTAGCAAGAGCAACTCTCATTCTCCAACCACCAGAAAAATCTGACAATTTCTTTTGCTGCATAGCTGCAGTGAATCCAAGTCCGTGTAAAATTCTTGCTGCACGAACTTGAGCTAAATCGACACCCAGTTCATCCAAACGTTCATAAATTTGAAACAAATGATCACTTTCCGCTGAGAATTAATTTTAACATTCATTAGTGTTGATAATTTTACTAAAATAAGGCTAAATTCACTTGGCTGACATAAACAGTCCCTGAACTTATATTAGAACTAAAAGAAAGAAAATGTGATTATTATGGGGTAACCCTAAACTGGTACACATACTACGCGAGTACTTCATTTTCACTAGAAAGATTTAAAATGTTAAAGATTGAGAGGATATCACAGTCACAGATGTTTTTGCACTCGTAAATTTAGAAAAGTTGTAGAAAAGTAAATTTAGAAAAGTCTGTCTGTGATGACTATAAATTTCATCGAGAATTAAGTGGATTCTTGATATATCAGATAGGAATTTGCATTCTAAGTGAATTTTATAACACTTTGGACTGTGGGACTAAGCGACAAACTCTCAAGTTAATTTAAGTAAGTAATCTCAAATAATTTACTCAAGTGACGGCTCTAAAATATTTCTAATTGATTGCGCAACACCTTGCTCCAAGCGGAAGATTCTCATAAATAAAAATTCCACAACACACACTCCCGAATCTTTATGGTTGAGATATTTAATAGCAGGTAATGCATCACAAGGATGCTATAGGGTTTCAGTAGCTCTAGTAATGACTTTGCTCACAGGCGAGTCACTTTTACATTTAAGTTTTGAGAGAAACTTCTTATGAATATAAACATGAAACCCTCCCTTACTCACGATCTTCATGACTAAGATATTGGTTTTATAGCGTGTAATTCATCACACAAGGTTTTAGAAGTCAGAGGTGAGTTTCTTTCACTTCTAAGTGTGCAAAACTTCGCTTTGAAGGCAAATTATCAAAATTAAAAATTCAACAACACATACTCATGATCTTCATGGCTGAGACATTCAATGGCATATAATGCATCGCAATATGGTTTTAGTAGCTTTGGGTACGTAGTGTGTGTGCCAGGTTAGGTTTAGGCCATAATTTTATTCTGATTATCCTTATTTTAGTTCTATTATGAGCTCCGAGTATGTTGTATTAGCCAAGTGAATATCCCCCTGCCCATAGGCTTCAGTTACTTCCACAACTTGATGTAAGGTAGGCGAACAAAATTATATACCTCCATATTGGTACGCATACTTCTGCAGCGAACGCAACAATTGCTTTGGGGAAAAATTCTCATAATTAAAAATTCAATGGAAAATTTTAACGTACGATCTTCATGACTCAATCTTTCTGCTTCTTTTTCCAACCGCGTTCTTTCTTTATCAACTTCCATGACAGTTTGGAGAGGAGTTTTATCGCTCGCTTCCATCTCACGATCAAGAATAAAAACATCAATATGATCAGGAATGGGAACATCTCTATGTCCGAGACTTCGTAGTAAAGTGGTTTTTCCTTGAAATTTTGGGAAAAAGGGACAATTTAATATTTAAACGAGCTCAAACATTGAAAATATGTAATATTTAAACATGCAATGAATTGGATAGTCAGTGCCAAAACGGAAAGATTCCAGCTCTTGTAAAAATAGTAGTACAGTATAGCAACTCTACTTAACTGGCGTTTGTACACAGCATTGTTAACATCAAAAAAAGTGATTAAAAAATCTTATAATAAACAATCAAGTAGGATATTCCATGTAGAAATGAATAGAACAAAACATTTAAATTGAGATGAACAAGCATAATAAATATTATTTAAAATTTCAGACTTATCTAGAAGTTAAGTCCATACTACATAAAAAAATATCTTACCACATCCATTAAGGCCGATTAATCCATATCTGTTCCCAGAATTCAATTCCAAATTTGTGTCTTCCCAAAGTACCTTGTAAAAGAGAAAAACTAATTGAACACCTATTCTATCCTTTCACATACAGCTTTACAAACTGAATTTTCACACAATTTAACCAAAGTTAAATAAAGATTCAATGAAGAGTAATTGAAATTACCTGGCCATGGAAAGTACAGGAATAATTATGGATATGCAAATCAGTAGCAAGAGGATGGGAGGCAAGAACACCAGTACAAGAACGTGAACTCAACGACAGGTTTTCAACTTCTGTGTTTAATCCTGGAAAAAATGGAATAAAAGCATAAATCATGACGTAAGATTGATTGGGTTTTGTAGCTGTTTCGTACCTAACGTACTATTAGTGGGTGTAGAAAAACAATTTGTTCACATGTCTATTCTAACCCCCGCCTAACTTTGCCATCCAAAAAATACGTCACAACTACGTCATAGAGCTTGTCAACGGCATCTGTGCCAATGATAAAGAACTGACTATCGGCAGCGATCTCTCTCACATCGGGGTCATTGCGACGAGAGAAATATCTTGCTCGATTTTGGAGCGCGTCTTGGATGAATGTTCCTACCTCATTACCCTGCATGATTGCAAAGATTCAAATTTCAAGCGGGACTGACGGACACCTCTTAACCACAAGATGGCTCAAGTAACTAACAACTGGTAAGTTAATGTTTCCTCTACCTGTCCAACATAAGTCCAGGCATCTGAAACAAATAACTTGTTCACTATTCCCATAATCAACATGAACTGGTGGCCCTGGTTCACCATTATGCTTAAGCCACCTAATTTGTCGCCTTCGTCGAATATATATGAATGTTTCATTAATGAAAATTATTACTGAAATAAAGCTGTTTTAAAACTACTCTGGAATAATGTTAACATTTAGAGTATTGTATATTCAGTATTTAGAAAAAGATGAAAATTACATTAATTTAATACAAACCATTCACATCTCCATTGCCATTTTCATTTTGAGTTTTTTTGACCGGCTTCTTCTTTGAAGCTTCTTTCTTTTTTGCAGCTCGGCGTTTGGCGGCTTCAGAAGGCATTTTTATCGAATGATTTCACAGTTCTAGACGATTATTTTTCACTTTTCAAATTTCTTTAGATTCTTTTGACTGTTTGATAAGGGTCTGAGTTTATAAACTACGGTAATTCATAACTTTTTTATGTAACAAGACATTTTTAAAACTATGACAGACTGCAGAATGAACTTCTGATGTCTAAATTCTGACCATCTACATAGCCTACATTAGATAACATTACTTGAGTAGTAACCACTTTCCAATTATTATCTTACATTTTGTGAAAATAATTGTAACATTTAGAATGTTTTATCTTTGTATTTTCCGATTTTAATATCTAGCCATCTGAAATCGTGTATCTTAAACATAATAGGAATAAGATGGGAGTTGACTTGATCACCATATGGCTGTATGGTGGTATCACTCCCTTCTGTCTATACCAAATTACTTTTTTACTCGATATTTTTTAATAATCTGATATTATAAGAGTATTACGAAAGTACGACGACTGTTTTTTGGTTGTGGGTTCTCTTCCCGACTTTTGAACAATAATATGATATTACGTATGGCGATACATGTTACTGAACATTTAGACAACATATTCTACTCTCTGTTAACACAAACTCGAAACCAATTGGACCTTTCTGAAAGTATAACCCAACTTCTGTACATATCCCGCCCAAATTTATAGCTGACACGAAGTTAACAGCACGACACGAACGCACGCCGAAACTAATCTTGCGAAATCGTGAAAACAGCTGTTTATAGGAAACTCATTATGACGTCAAGTGATTACTCGAGCTTATCGAAATGTCGCGCGGAGAGGATAGAAAACGGCTTCTCAACCTTTTTCATATAGCGGCCCACTTTCACGATGAGTTTTACTTCGCGGCCTACCTTTATTAAGTTTTTTTTCGCAGGCTAAAATAAGTCGATGCAGGGTTGGCCAAAACCAATCGAATTTTTGAATATATTCGAATATCAAAGTAAATTCGAAGTAATCGAATGTATTTTCGGCAAATTTTCTATTCGCCGTCAGCCAAATATATCTTCAAACGATATTTTGCATTTTTTCACGTATTGTAATGACGATAAAACAGAATCGTCACTTTGATTGTTCCTTATCTTCTGTGCGAGCGTGCGCGCAAATGGTTGCGACACCTTTGCACGGCTGCGTGGTGGGCATTGCCACCATTCTCTTGCGAGGCTTCTTGTTTAGGCATTGATTTCAAGCATGCCAGAAGGTGTTTTGGCCAAGTAATCACACTTTAGGTTTTGATCATTTACGAAAGCGCTTTGTTAGTTCGCGCACGCCTCTAAAACCTACGAGTGTATTTATCCACATTGCCTCCACATGAAAGTGAACATTTCCGTATTGCAATATTATCCTTGCTGAACGTTTCATAAATAACTTTGAAGCGTTCTAAGCAGTCAAACGCAAAACTACAACAAATTCTAGCATAAAAAGGACACATAATAAGATGTTATCCCGTAAGCTACATGTGTAATAATACGTTTGTATTATTTTATTTATTCAAATTAAGATACATCGGTTTTACACAATCAAACGATAACAGTTCAACATAGAAGCACATTGACTAAGTTAGTGACAGACAATGACAGCTAAGCGACCGACACGAATCAAGAACTAATAGCTTTCATATGTCTATCCTTGTAGTGTGTGATTGACCTAAACATAAATACGTCACACACACACAGCAGCCAATCAGAGCATTGTCTACTTGACACGTTATAAAATCACAACACATGACATCCCCCTTTTTCCGAAACGAGCATATCAAAATGAAACAGTCTACTAATATTGATCACAGTATCTTTCAGGTGGACGTCGAATTCTTGTAGATCTTCGTATTTGCGGTTGTTCAATTTTTATAGCTTCATCATGAGAAGTATGCAACTGGCTTGGAGATACTTCTGCAGTCTTTGAATCGCTAGGAGGTTTATGGACTTCAGGGCATATATCAGTACCAACATATGGTGGATATTGTTCTTTTGTTGTAACCAAATGATACTGATTTCGCCTGAGCGTTCTGCCATCTGGAGTTAGAATATTGAATGATCGCGGTGCATCATGCTTGGAAACGACTACAGCTGGATGCCACTCTTTTCCCTCTCGAAATCGAATTGAGTCATTGAGCTTTATTGCTTTCCTTGGTAATGTTGCTCGATCGTAGAATCTCTTCTGGTCTTGTTGTCTTCTATATAAAGACTTCTTGATATCAGCGGAGATTCTTGGTTGCAGAGAATTGTTTCCTGTTGGAATTCTGCTTCTAAGTTTTCTGCTCATTAGAAGCTCTGCTGGAGACTCATTCATTCCAGTGATAGGAGTATTTCGAAACTCTAAAACGGCAAGAAAAAAATCTTGATTAGAAAATTTGGCCTTTTTTAATAAATTTTTCATTGTTTGAACATTTCGCTCTGCTAAACCATTAGAACGAGGATATCTTGGACTAGATGTGACCAAATTAATTTCCCAATTTCGACAAAATTGATGAAAATTCTTGCTATTGAAAGGCATATTGTCTGCAACAAGTTTTTCTGGAATACCATGTCTTGCAAAAATATTCTTCATACTTCTTATTACGGATGAACTAGTTTTGTCGACAAGTTTGTCTACTTCAGGATATTTCGAATAATAATCAACGACAAGCAAATAGTCTTTGCCGTCAAAGTAAAAAATGTCTGCTCCAACAACAGCCCATGGCCTGCTAGGGACTTTGTGTGGAATTAATGGTTGTTTGCGATTATTTCTCTGGTATCTCAAACATGTAGTACAGTTGGATACAGTTTTCGCGATATCAGAATTTATACCAGGCCAAAATACACAACCTCGTGCCCTTGCTTTACATTTCTCTATTCCGAGATGTGCATAATGAATTCTATTCATTATTATTTTTCTCATTGATTGAGGAATGATTATGCTTTCGCCTTTGAACAAAATACCATCAGCATACGATATTTCATCGCAAAAGTTCCAAAATTTAGAAGTGAAATTTCGTACCTTCCATCTTTGGGACCAACCTTCCATTACAGCTTTGTATAGATCTTGCATTTCGGGATCTTTGCTGGTTTCTTTCACAAGTTTGTGATAAATGTTTTCTGAAATTCCACCATTACTGAGCACGTGTACTTCGTATTCGTCAAATTCTTCTTTCTCATTCTCGTTCAATTCCTGGGTAGATCTTGACAAGACGTCTGCGATCTGCAATTGATTACCAGGTTTATAACGTACATTGAGAGAATAGGGTTGAATTCGTAAAATCATTTTCTGCAAACGAGCTGGTGCACAATATATTGGCTTTTTTAATATGGACTCTAGTGGCTTATGATCGGATTCTACATTCACGATCTTTTGACCATACAAATAATCGTGGAAACGCTCACAGCCAAAAGTGATCGCTAACATTTCTTTCTCAATTTGTGCATACCGTTGCTGACATTTTGTCAACGACTTTGACGCATATGCAACAGGCTTTTCATCTTGGATTAAAACTGCACCCATACCTTTGGAGCTGGAATCTACCGAGAGTGTTACTGACTTTGTTACATCAAAATATCCCAGCACTGGAGCAGCTGTTATAGCAGATTTCAAATCATTATATGATTTATTATGCTCATGCTCCCAATGCCAACAAACATCTTTTTCCAAAAGATTACGCAAAGGAGCGGCTATTTGAGATAAATTTGGAATGAATTTTGCCAAATAAGTTATTACTCCCAAAAATCTTTGAAGATCTTTAACATTTTCTGGAACTGGCATATCTTGAACTGCTTTGACTTTGTTTGGATCGGGTTTCAATCCTTTATCAGTTAGTAAATGTCCAATATAACTCACTTCGTTGAGTCTGAATCGACACTTACTTCTGTTTAGTTTCAAATTACTTTTTCTGGCAATCTCCAGAACTTTGACAAGACGTTCATCATGCTGTTTTACGTTTTCGCCCCAAATTAGCAAATCGTCGATGATTACTTCTACACCTTCTAGATTTTCAAGAAGATGAGACATAATTTGTTGGAAAACCTCTGGGGCAGACTTAATACCAAATGGCAAACGTTGAAAGCAATATCTTCCAAAAGGCGTATTGAAAGTACAGAGTTTACAGCTTTCTTTGCTCAATTTGACTTGCCAAAAACCATGATTTGCATCTAAAACACTGAATACTTTAGCATTTGGCATGCGACTTACAACATCTTCAATGGACTGCATGGGAAAATGAGATCTTTTTATTGCTTTATTCAAATCGGTTGGGTCGATGCAAATTCTAAGCTTGTTATTTTTCTTTCGTACCATAACCATGCTATTAACCCAGTCAGTAGGAATATTTACTTTCTTAATCACATTAAGTTTTTCCATTCGATCAAGTTCAGACTTTAAAGAATCTCTTATAGCTATCGGAATTCTGCGTGGTGCATGAACAACAGGCGTTACATTGGGATCTATCGTAATTTTGTATTCGGATCCCTTAATCAAGCCTAACCCGGTAAAAACATCATCGTATTGATTTTCTATTGTACCACTGGTCAAAGTGTTTACACGTTTTATGAGTTCCCATTCCATACATGAAGGTAAACCAAGAACAGGTTGGACATGGTAATTAACAAGCAAAATGTCAATATTTTTCGTAAGCCCTTTATAAGAACAAGGTATAGAGACCTTACCGTAGGCTTCGACCTTACGTCCATCATACATCCGCATGTTTGTTCTTGTGGGGTTAATCTTTAATCTTCTCAAACGCAACCCATCAAAAGTCTTTTTTGACATTACGTTACAGTCCGCACCGGAATCTAGTTTAAATTTAACTAACTGTTTGTTTATATTAAAGTCAACGAACCATTTCTTTTCAGTCTCGCTATCGACCGAAAACATCAAGACATCTTCGTCTTCAGAGATCAAGCTCATTACTCTTTCTTTGCTTGATTTATAATCTTCTCGCTTCGTCCTGCATACTTTCTCAAAATGTCCAATTTTATTGCAAAATCGACACTTTTTTCCAAAAGCTGGACATGCTCTAGCTACGTGACTACCACCACAGTATTTACAATGTCTTATGTTCTTCCATTGCTGTCTCGTTCCAGTCTTGTCGAACGAGTTCTTGTTTTTTGATTGCCTAATGTTGTCAACAGACGATCCAATTGAGTAATTATCCATTTTATGTATTTGTTGTTTTGACGTCTCTGCAGCTCTGGCCATGTTTATAGCTTGAACAAGCGTTAGTTCGTCTTCTCTTAGCAGTCTTTCTTTTACTCCATGGTCACGCATATTGAAAATGAAACAATCCCTTATCATATCTTCTGGCTCTTCTTTGAATGCGCAAGATTTGACTTTACTTCTTAATTTAGTTACAAATTGATCTATAGTCTCGGTAACATCTTGAGACGATTGCCAGAATTGATGTCGCTCAAAAACAACATTTTTTCTTTGATTGCAATAATTTTCAAACTTCTCGATGACTTTATCAAGTTTCTTTCTGTCGTCGGCTTCCGCAAAATCAAAATTATTATATATTTCTACCGCATCTTCTCCGGCAAAATTGAGTAATATTGCTACTTTTGTGATATCCGACTTTATATTGTCACCTGATGCTTCTAAATATATTTCGAACTGTTGCTTGAATTTCCTCCAGTTTTCGCTTAGATTTCCTTCGAGGCTAAGGTTTCTCGGAGAGTTGAATTTACTCATGATGATCAATCTTTCACTTCTGACACTGATACGTTTGTATTATTTTATTTATTCAAATTAAGATACATCGGTTTTACACAATCAAACGATAACAGTTTAACATAGAAGCACATTGACTAAGTTAGTGACAGACAATGACAGCTAAGCGACCGACACGAATCAAGAACTAATAGCTTTTATATGTCTATCCTTGTAGTGTGTGATTGGCCTAAACATAAATACGTCACACACACGTGGACTTACAAAGCAGCCAATCAGAGCATTGTCTACTTGACACGTTATAAAATCACAACACATGACAACATGTTTATTCCCGATTTAACTTTCATGCTCCGCTGTTTTCCTTTCGAAATAATAATCTACCGCGTTTTATCAAGCCCGTCTGTTTCGTCAAAGAACCGTTATTATTCTGAACTGATAATAATGGTTCTTCTGATATTTTAACACCGGGGTTATCATACGATGCCTTCTAATGAAGATTCCCCCTTTTCCCGCGCATTGCCGGGGTTGCTCACATATTTTTCGATCAGTGTTCACCGTCCAAGTGCAGTGTTCACCACCCTTGCAGTCGATAAAAAAGCACTTTTTGAACACGTAGTGGACATAACGATCGTTTCAAAATTTTGTTGTTATTGTTATTATTTGACTCCCTCAACACGTTTTGAAGAAATCGCTTCTCTCTTCGAATACTGGACCAATTGCTTTGAAATTTTCAGTGGTTAAAGATAAAAATTTTCTCCAGAAGGTTATTACTTTTTTTTCGCTATGACGTCATCAAAATTATGTGACTTTACTTGTCCATATATTTGAGCATAGCTCTCTTGTTCCCATTGAGATAATCAGATTTACAATTCTGATTACAATACAATTTTTAAGGTTGCTGAAAGTTTCTGGTTGTGGGGTCGCGAGTATCTGTAGTCTTCCTTTTAATGAAAATTGGGGTCACGAAGATTTGGGTTGCAATGACGGCGCAGACGCATTCGATAGTTATGTTGGAACGCTTGAATTGGTGGAATCGACTCGGGTCTTCAATAGAAGGTATTGATACCCTATTAAAAAGTCGAAATAATTTCAATTCCAACACAAAATTTATAGAAAAATACGAATAATTTGGCAACGAGTTGGCGGCCCACCATGTGATGCTTGGCGGCCCACCAGTGTGCCGCGGACCACCGGTTGAGAAGCGCTGGTTTGGGGGTTACCACCCTGTGCTAAGCATTAGGAATAGGGGAATAGAACCGTCTCACGAAATTTTATGAGATCAGCGAACCGGTTAGCATTACATGATTTTTTGTAACAGAACCGCCTGAAAAAAATATTTGAATCCCACCACTGCCTCCACCCCGATATAAATGTGCGAATCCTACCCTATGATCCTACAAAACACAATGCAAAACGTAGGGCGAAAATTCAGGCAACTTTTTAGAAGTTCGAATGAAATTTAAAACACTAATGCATGATATGTATCCACGGAGTATCAACTTCCCCGGTTAATCTACAATACGAATTCATTATACCAATCAGTAATAACACAACAATTGAAATCCAAGCTTTTCTGTGTAAGAGAAGATTGCTCGACTATTTGGCTTCGCCGGGCAGTTTCCCCAATTCGATGGCGGATTATGTAATTTCGAACGTCCTTTCTTGTTGATTTGTATGTGAGACATCTTTTTCAATTGTTGATTGGTGGCAAATATGTTACGGAGGTAATTAAATGGGAGACCTCCCGTCGCCAAAACTCGAAATCTCGGCGCACCTTTGATTACCCTGCGTGGATTCGCAGGTTCGAATCCGATGAGGGATAATTAAGTGCGGGTGGATTGCTGGACTTCTCACTATAGGGCTCCTCAGCAAGCGGCGTAGAGTTCCTTCTGTTTATAAAGATCAATACTTCCGAACTCGAACAATTTTCGAACACAAGAAACAAATTTTTGCAATTTTTATCATATTTATTTCTTGTAAATGAACAATTATAACATAAGACATAGAAGCGTTTACGTGAATTGAAAAATAAAACGACAAAATTTTCGGATAAATATCGGGTAACATAAGACTTGGAGCAAATTCGAGTTATTGCCAGGGGCGTGTCTGGAGGGGGCAACAAGTTGTAGGAATGAGTTTGTTGCCTAGTTTGATGGTTTAAAGTCACTTTAAATAATAATAATACAAATATTTTCACCTTTACTTGACCTTCAATTTATTTATTCTCATGTATAACGACACCTTTAATTTGTAAATTCCTTGAATGATTTTCGTAGTTGGGTATACTATAAGGGACATCATTAGAAACTCGCCCTGGGCAGCAGGAATGGTTAGATCTGTTTCGAGACTTCAATCATCTTTTAAAAATAAAATTTAAAATTATTTGGTCCATTAGTAGAAAGAAGAATTGTTCGTAATAAAAACAATTTAGCAATTCATATTTACAATTTGTGTCCAAAAAGCAACTTGTTGACAACAAAATCTCAGAAGGCTAGTTGAGCCATCCATCCTACAGCCTATTAAATAATTCTCACAAGATATATTATTGTAAACAACATGGTCGAAATTGTCATTACCATTGACATATAGCAAAGCTGAGTAGATCATCGGGATACGTGTTTGACATTCCTCCGATATCATTCGAATCGGCAAACACTGTCAGATAAACATTTACAAAGCGCCGATTCCAATATTCTGTAAGGGGTTGGGACGAATCTTCCCATTGAATGAAAGAATCTTTCGTAGATACCTCACCTTTCTGAAGAAATGTGATGAATTAAATATTTTTTTCATGAACCCGGACAAGTTCATGGACATGTATGACCCTGTATATGAATATGGCCTAACCCTAACCTGGCACACATACTACGTTCCAGTGTCCGTCATCCATCTTGGTGCACATACTACGGGAGCGCCGAGTCAACCCGTTCAGAAAACGAATATATACTGTTTATTCCGTGGTATTTAGTAAAGGCACTCACTAATACCAACGGAGCTACCCTATGTTTCCAATTTCGAATTTTCGGTTCGGCCAAATATACTTATTATATCACCCTTAAGGCGGTGACACGGGGTTTCAAACCTTTATCTCTATAACCTGCGACGCCAAAATTTATAAACCTAGTGCGTTGCTAGAATGGGTGGAGGAATCGATTACAAAATCGCGATTACAGAATCTATGCAAGATTCAAAGGGTGAGGAGGGGGGGGGGGGGGTAGGTTGGTTTCTGAAATTTCTGTTGGCAAAGTTAGATCTATCAGCTAGCGGGTCCGGCTGGGGGTCTTGAGGGTCTAGGAAGCGCTTTTTGAAATGCGCTCTGGTGAAATGCGTTTTTTTACATTTCTGGGCTGGCGGGTTGTCCAGAATGTGTATAACTTACCACTGGGTCGAAAATAATTCCAGTCCAAGCGGCCACGAGTTCGGCGGCTGTAGGTCTTATCATGTTTACAATCCCGTCGTACTCTTCCTTGTTTTTTATCTGTGCTATAGTTGAATTGCTAATCTCACAGAATTTAACAGAATGCAAATAATCCATATAAAATCCATTGGTATATCTCCCGTACCAGAATACATCACCGCTTTTAGAAATGTAGAAATCTGAATGAATTACGGGTGGGATTTATTTCTCTCTATATATATATGAATATTTGAACCTGTAAGGTCTCCCAACAAGTGGGGAATTCAATTGTTTTAGGGAGAACTACTTTCTCTATGTTTTCTGTATTATTACAAATATTGGTACTCCAGAAGTATGTGCACCAAAATTGCGAACACCGGAACGTCGTATGTGTACCAGGTTAGGGTTAGGCCATAGTTTTAGGTACGAATACTACGGGAGTCACTTGGCTAGTCACCGAACTCGTAATAAAACTAGAAATATTAAAATAAATGTATGACCTAATCCTAACCCGGTAAACATACGACGTTCCGGTGTCCGACATCTTGGTGCACATACTTCTGGAGCAGGGGTGGACACTTGCCAATATTTGGGGGGGGGGGCGAACTTGGATCGCCTACCAAAAAACACCGCGTCGTGTATCGTCACGTAACAATAACCTGTCGATGTCATTCTCTAAGTATTAGAATGTCATTTTGCTACTCATATATCGAGTACCTAAGATGTTTCGCTTAGAAACGGAACTTACGCGTCACTGAACCAATTTCTTGAATTCCGCGAGAATTAGCCCACGGCTCTTGCTAACAAACAGAAAATAACAAATTTGAGGAGTCCTAGTAGGTTATTGTTTCAATTCCTAGTTCTGCATAAATCGCACTAATGCCGTTTCGTAAAATTAGAAATGCAAAACAAGGTAACAAGCTATTGTGCGTATTTTTTTCCTAAATTTTACCAGGGAATTATCATTTGATTAGTAGAATGGCCATTATTGCCGATTTATTGAATCATCATTTGAACTCGAAATAACATTCAGGTTTCACGCAATGACTTTGCAGGGTTCTAAAATGTCCTTATATATTAATTTAATTGTGTGCAACGTAACTCGCGGCTGCGACTTCTTACCTCAAAATAAAAATGTTACTAAACGAAAGTACCACGGCGATATGTGGACATAAAAATATGAGATAAGCTGCCTGATGTATTTAATTTTGATACGTATTTTTGCAATCTTCCGAACTCGTTATCGCCGTTACAAAAATCTCGATATCTGATATAAAATCCCATATAATACAATTTTACTTCATACAATGAAAATAATTATAAAGTATACTAGTAAATCAAAAATACAAATTCCCAGCCTCGCGGAACAGTGGCCGCGATTACGCCACTTGTTAAAAGAGCCGACTTTTTCAACGAAAAATGATTTTTCACTTGTGCAAAGTAATCAATCAAAGACCGATACGGGCATATTCAAAATGTCTTGATTTATTAATTTAATTGTCTTCAATTTAAACTGCGATTGAGTCGACAAAACAAGAGCCACTCTAAAACACCACGGCAATCCGCGGACATAAAAATGTGTGGTAAACAGCCCGTTTATATATTGTTTTGAACCGTATTTTTGCTATTTTGCGAATTCGATAAATTTGAGATGTACTTGTAACACTGGCTCCGCTCAATCGCAATGTTGTCACTCCGATTATTTTTGAAAATAAAATCTTTTGAAAAATCCGTAATTTTCTGTCAATTCTTACGTAGTAAAAGTTATTTCAGTACAATAAGAATATATAAATAAATACAAAAGTTGATCGAATATACTTTAATTATCGTATATATCATCACAAACCGTGAAAAATTCGCGTTCTCAGCTTTGTTTAATGTTACCACGAAAATTTTTGACGTCAATTTGAAAGTAATGCATAAAAGGCAAATCTCGCTCGCAATTGACCATGTTTCGATTTCAGTGACAAAATGTTTTTGAAGGTCAAGCAAACATAATTTGTGCGGTAGGCACACGAAATTTTGCGATTTTCGATGCCTAGAAATGCGTTTCCAGACTGTCGCGGGCCTCAACAAAACTTATATTATTTACAGTTTTATTTTTAGTATTTTATATTGCCGCTTTTCAACTTATGGATACTTATTAGAATTCTCGCCGGGTTCATAAGTCCGTGCTTGTACGAAAATAAATCAATTATCATAGTCATTGTGTCACAAATTTATGATTTAGAGAGGATAAACGCCAACGTAAAGGCGTTTACTACCTAAATAATAGGTCACAATGATGAAAACAATCAGCGATTTTAGCAAAAGGCAATTAATTACACGCGTTTTTGGCGACTTTTTCAGTTTTCAAAAAAATTCAGAAGGGATGGGGGTATCTTTTTTAGATAGTTTTTGTGGTCTGAAAAGTCGAATAGGCGTTTCGACATAGTAAATGCTTTGATATTTGCCCGCAAATTATGCTGGGCCTTGCTCGAAATCCATAACGTGAAAAGATACGTCCAGCGGTGAAAATTGTTTATAACAACCTTAGATCTATAGTTAATTTTTAAGCGATAATAATTAATTGTTGTAATGAAATGCAGTTTGCCTCTTTCACTTCATTCGCAAATGCCAACAATAACACTATTGAAAGATTTTGATAATGAGAAAACCATATTAAATTGTACAAAAAGGAATTAGTTGTGAAAAACCGTGGCGCGTGATTGGCGGTGCGTTTGAAGACGGAGTATTACCCGTGCGGGCGCGCATGTTTCACGAAAATGTCAGGTGCTCCGAAGGCGCTCTGGTCCACAATATTGTAAGAAAACAGTTATAATATCGGTAACTATTAACCGTTTAATTGCGCTTGACTATCACAAATGTTTATTCCCGCTACAGCATCCTTGCATTGTACGCATACGAATCCACTAGCGCAAAGGCGGAGTATTACCCGTGCGGGCGCGCATGTTTCACGAAAATGTCAGGTGCTCCGAAGGCGCTCTGGTCCACAATATTGTAAGAAAACAGTTATAATATCGGTAACTATTAACCGTTTAATTGCGCTTGACTATCGCACATGTTTATTCCCGCTACAGCATCCCTGCATTGTACGCATACGAATCCACTAGCGCAAAGGCATAGAGGAAGGATTGGGAGTTAGTTTCGCGTAACCTCTACTGATGGTTATATTATTGGACACGTTTAGTGGCCATAACGATAGTTTCAAAATTTTGTTGGTATTGTTATTATTATTTGTCTCCGTCTCCATTTTTAAAAAATCCCTTTTCTCTTCGAATACTGGACCAATTGTTTGATATTTTCAGTGGTTAAAGATAAAATTTTTCTCCAGAAGGCTATTACTTTTTTTTTCGCTATGACGTCATCAAAATTATTGCCACTGGGTGGCATGATTTTTGGGGAATTGTTCTGCGTGTCCATATATTTGAGCATAGCTCTCTTGTTGTATTATATATTTATGTGCATATTTACTATTCAAACTATGCAAAAGCCAGAATGCGAGCCGTACTTATCATGAGATAAAAATCCATTAAATATTAAAAAACAAACATAGAGTCTTAAATATATCGATGTGGGAATCAGGATTGGAATTTGTAATCGCCAAGTAAGATCTTAACAGCGGATCCGGTCGTGTAGGTCGTAAAATTGCTGTGTATGACAAAGGAAAAACGTTTTTTCGTTTGTTTTACATTTCGAAGGGGGGGGGGGGGGGTCCCACACGCACTGGATACGTTCCTGGTTACAGGCACATAACATTGCATTGGTCGTACTTACGTGTTGTTATAAATATATTTATCAAGTAAATCAAATTTTATAAACCAGGAAATCCCAAATGTTGCCATCTCGATCAGATTAAATTGAAAATTGCATCCAAGGCATATCCTATTGTAAAAGCTGTAGTGGCATTTTACAATAAAATTTATATATACGTATACATTTTATAATGAGAAATTCCTGTTACAATTCCAAAATTTGGCAATGAAGTAGGTTCTCATTATATCGTCACACTAATAACCGAATTGCAAAAGTCATTTTTGGCGATTTTGAGTTTTTTTTTATAAAATAGGTATTTATATAATGCTGAGCACCTGTCTGTTAACTCAGATTTTATTTTAAGAATTCCGAAACCCATAAAAATGAAGATTTAGTATGACATGCACATTTGTGCAATTGTTTCGTCATAAGGAATTATCATCGTTACCGAAGGACTATTGTGACGTCACAAGAGCAAAATAACCTCTGCGAAGTGTTTTCGAGTTTTTGCATCTCGGATTCCAGCTTAGCGCGTATTAATTTATGTTTAAACTACAGTATAGGAAAGCGTGCACTTGTGATATTCACTGTCCGAGTCCAATTCAACTTGGTTGGATTTTATATTGGGTGCATTGCTGTTTTATTCTTTATATTTAATCTTAGTCTTATTTCGGTGGGTGTGCAGAACGAGTTATATTGATGAAATATATATTTTTAAACATAAAAAATAATGTAATTGAAACTGATTAGCTATTTTGGGGATTAGACATTGTAGATACTGAGAATTACATTCGTTTTTGGAATGTTTAATTTTCAGGACTGGTGCATATAGTAAAATTGCGAATGTCCCCAAGGCATAGACACATTTCTGCCTAAGTCACAGTGCGCCATTCTGACGTCACCTAACTGCGTCATACAAATTAACTTAAATCCGGCTACGATCAAAAAAATTGAACCATGGCAAATTATTGATTCTCAATGGCAAAACAATATCATTAGTAAGTCTTTTACGTTTTTCTCAAAACTGCTAAAAATGACTTACGCAATTCGGTTATTAGCGTGACGATATCCTAACCAGGTTTGTTGTTTTGTTTTATCAGTGCCAATTCCTGAAGAATCTGTTCATTACAAAAAGATTAGCACATCGGTGGAAGCTATAGAAAATGGCATTGTATAAAGCGAAAGGTGTGGCTCATCGTGCTAAGCGTTTGGAATACGCTCGCCACCGCACTTCTGATTACTCCGCGTGGGTTCGCAGGTTCGAATCCCATGCTGGGATGGTTATGGACGAGAAGATTGCTGGACTTCTCGCCGCCGTAGGGTGGTTCACGTAACCGCTGGTCGGTTACGGCTTCCTCCACCATCAAGTCCATTATTCCAACTATATTCCAATATAACTAACTAATTCCATACCCGACATGGGGTGGTGACCGGACGAGAGGCCGTGGTTCGCCATATGGTTAAGCCGTCCTGTCAGCTTTCCTCTCCCCGGGGATAAATATGTAATTTAATAGGATAAAAAAAAATAAGCTTTATAAAGAAAAATAAAAGATGCTACCTAGAACGTATTTAATAGAATCTATCAAGCACATACTGTTTACAGTTGTGGAGATTATAAGAAGTTTGTCAATCACTTGATGTCGCTCGTCGATCTCTTTCTGTTGTTCGGTAATAATTGCTTTTTGTTTATCTACCATCTGTTGTTTCTCATTTTCTAAACAAAAATTCACTAAAATGATTAATGTTATCTAAATTGATATTTTATGCGAGATTTTTTAGGAAGTTGTTGGAGCTGAGTATGCTGTCGTGGAAGGTTGAATATATAGGGTTTGAAGATCTTGCCCATCGAATGAGGCCACTTCCGAAGTATGTAAACCAAGATGGCGGAACCCGGAATGTAGTATGTGTGTCAGGTTGGGGTTAGGCCATAATTACAGGTACAAATACGGGAGTCAGGTAACCAGTAATTCATTTCTTCATCATACTGAAAATACGGACTATACATACACAAATATAAAACAAATCACACTCCAGGGTGATTTAGAAAATTAAAAAATTGTAGCATAAAAGAACATGTTGTTGAAGTAATTTAATGTAGATAGGCACGGAGAACAAACGATGAAGACATTTGAAGAAATTTGAAATCGAATATTCACCTTCAATGCATAATCAATTGGCCTTAAGATTATTTGCAATTTGAGTAAACATTCTAAGTCTGTTTCAAGCAATTCATAGAAATTAAGATCAGAATTATTATCGCTAAAAAAGTTAAAGAAGGACTATACATTGAGAAAGAAAGTAGTACGATAAATGTCCCAGTTAGGAGAAAAATCTTATGTATATATACCAAAAGTAAAACAAATTGATGAATAATATTTTCATTCGATTGTCTTGCTCGATCATTTTTCGCTGTGATCTTTATGAATATCTAAAAGCGTGCGCTTCTTTCGTACGTTTATAAAAGATTATCGTTCGTTGAATTTTCACCTTTTATTTTTGAATTCAAACAGAAGTTCATATCGTTCATTGTGCGGACGTAGTCTTTATCCGTCGTCTGATTCTTTTCCGATTTCGTGCCTTTGTTCCCTCATGCTGTGATACCTTTATTGCTGTACCATCTTTAACGTTGTTGTTGTTTTGTTGGGTCACCTTTAGCGATTTCGACTCCACATCAGAAAATTTGCTATTCTTTGGTCGGGGTCACCAATTAATTTAAGATAGCGGTCCTAAATATAACTTGAGTCGACGTACGAGATCTTTCGTAGCTATTTAATCGGAGTACGGGCTCTTGTCTTTTAACTTGCACGAATTAATCATCACCTCGATGTTCTGCTGCGCTTGCCCCCAGCAGACAATAGATGATAGCAGACAAACGATGAAGACATGACGACACGACACCGATCCAGACGACTTGACTCCCAGTCCTAATACAAGACCTTTCAATACATTCCTTCTTCAATACCTTACCCCCAAATATCCAATTGAAATCTTTTTATACGTATGTGCGTATGGTGATATCGATTCCATCAAGTTTATCGATTCGGGTTTGGAATACTAATTACCATATGTCATCGATTCAATTATATTTTTGGTTGTCACCTGTTTGTCTAATTACAACGGGAACTATATCGATCCAATTCATGAATTTGGAGAAATTAGCAATTTCCAGTCTTTTTAATGAATTTTACCTGGAATAACGAATTTATCCCTAAAGTGATACTGGTTATCGAATGGCGACACTCTAAAATCGTCCTAACGTGTCATATCCGCTCGTGCATGACACTGTTGGAAGTGAATTTGTAAAAAAAATTGAATGAAAAGGAATGAACTCAAACTGATTAAGAAACTGAGAAAGAACTGAAACCTTTGGGCAGGGGGTATATTTACTTGGCTAACACAGACAATCCCCGAACTCGTAATAGAACTAAAATGAAGAAAATTGGAATACAATTTTTCCCCAACCCTGGCCTGGTACATATACCACGGGAGTACCGAATATTCGTTCAATGCAACATGCTAAAAAAAATCTTTAATTAGAAGAATATACCAAGGATTCGTTGACTGCTAAAATTATACAAATCACGACTCACTTAGAAGTAATCCATAAACCAATCCAACTGCGAAGAGAACCAGAAATGAAGCAATGATCGCGATGAATAGTTTTTTGTGTTCAGTCTCTGGTGGTAGTGAAACATGTTAAAAGGTAAAATATATTAATTCATTTTAAATTGAATGTTTTTTTTAATATATGACATTTTGGATGCACAATAAGATAGCGACTTAACAACAATGAAGAAGTTTGTAAAAAAAAATAAATATTTTCATAACTATCTTTCATACCGCTCACATTACGACGCTCCATAAGTGTGTGTACCAATATGGAGGTAACTAATTTTGTTCGCCTATTTACAGCAAGTTGTGTAAAGGGACTGAAACCTATGGGAACGGGGTATATTCACTTGGATAAAACAGACAGTCCCGAACTCGTAATAAAACTAGAATAAGGAAAATCGGAATAAAATTATGGCCACACTGCGGGAATACCCACGTCACGGCTGTAAATATGTTTAAAAAATAATACTCTACCAAATTTTATTTTGTGATATATATATATATACAAAGACTTAACTCCAATACAAACTATGTGAAATGTAAAAAATGGAATAAAATATTTTCACAAATATGGTCCATATCACTTAAAAGTTCAACTACTTTATCGTTCGTTGTATAGATTTCTCGGAATGAAAAAAAAATTGGGTGCTCTCGAAGTATGTGAACCAAGATGGCGGACACCGGATTTAATGATTTAATTTTTTTTACCATTCACTTTTTCATTTGTTTCCAATTTGATTTTCGATGGCCGACTGTCTAATTTATCGAAGGTCTTTATTCCAGGTTCTTTGTTTTTGTTAGCTTTAAAAAATATACAAAAATCGTGACGAAGTGAGCTTAAATTGTATTGCAAATATTTATATTAATATAGGATTTGCTAGACTATCTGATGGGAAAAGAAAACCGGTAAGACGACTCAATCATATGGAAGATCACTGCCTATAGTCTAATTGTCAGTCAGTGGCGTATCTACGTAGAATGGCACCCATGGAAAAATTTGAAAATGCGTCCCACTATGATCGTTGGGTGACAATTTATAATGAATATTATTGAAATGAGGTATTTGTACGTTATTATTGCTGTAAAAATATGAGTTTAAGTTATTTCCAATTTGAAAATATTTTATTCTGTAAAATTTCGTCTTACTCTACATCAAAAAACTGACTCAACTAGAAGCCTATCAAGTCTGATTGGAAAATGAATTTGGCAGTAATTTCAGACAAAAAGTTATATATTCAACCACTAGACTTAATCGTTCAGTTTAGTGGTTCCGAACCGGGATCCTGGGAAATCTAGGGAATATAGAAAAGTCCTGGAGAGTTCATGATATTTGACTATTTGGTCTTGCGTATCTTATATATATGCAAAGAGTTCTGGGCAGGCAAGATCTTGGATCACCCTCCAAAAGCAGTTTCGATGCGCAGCTGTCATGAACATTTGAATTAGAGACCCCTTTCTGGTACATCAGCGCACCGCGGCCAACAACAACATTTCTGAAAGTCATCTTAAAAAGGGCGCATATCTATTTTAATACAAATGGTGGCTATGAATGTATCCCCGCTCTTTTGGCGCCCTTGTTCAAACGATATCCAGTATGGACTAGTTTTGTTGACTGGGCTACAATTTTCAGGCGAGTGGACGAAAGGGTTCATTGCGCTGAAAAGGTTGTGAAACACTTTAAAATTGCATGTCACGCGGTTGGGATAGGACAGTGCTAATATTTATCTCGGAGGGAAGGGAAAGTCGATAAGGCGGACAAATCATATTTCGAACCACGGTCTCTCGTCCGTTTACCTGTCCACGTCGGGTGTGGGAATATTCAGCCAGTGATCCGTTTTCAGATGCATGGAGTTGATGGTGGAGGAAGCCGTTATGAGGGAATATGATGAAAATTCAAAACTTTATTCCCAAAGGGGAAGAAATTCAGATTCTATACTCGGCCTAACTATTATAATATAAAGAAATACATTCGCTTAGCTTACTTTTAATTTTCTCTAATTTGATTTTCGGTGATTTACTGCCAATTCTCTCCGGGGTCATGGTTTCCGTCTTTCGTTCGTTGTTTTTCACTTTAAAACATATATATTTCTGCAGAAATTATTTGGTCTGAAATACAAGAGAGTAATGTTCAAATATATGGACACGAAAACCAAAACGAAGCAGTACGAGTATCTAATCTTTCACACTACCGGTACGTAAGCCTAGTCTTTCGTCGCGTCACGACTAACCACCAACCTCCACAAGATAATGAAGCCCCAAAGCTTCAGCCTACCTTGCATAATGGAAAATCTGTCCCTGATTGCGATAATACAAAACAACTCAACAATGATAGTTAAAACTACACCAACTACAAAATAATATTTCTGTATTTCCCCCGAGAACAATGAAAAGGAAGTAATTCCTCCCCCGTTCGCTCTACTAAACGAACTTGTTTTAAAATAGGAATTTTTTTACAAGCCCCCGCCAAATAACAACTCCGGCTAACGCGCAAAACAAGAAAATTAGTATTTAACCAGTTTAGATTTGGGGTAAGAATGCAGATTTTGCTGAATATTCAAATTTTTAAATCAGCTCCAACCCCAACTGGATATTTAAAAATTTATTATTCAAAAACGTGGCGGGTGTTTTTCTCAAATCGCACATTTTTGCATTAGACGGGGACTTTGTACAAAACATCCCAAAATAGATCGAAAATTTATAGTAAAAACATCTGCGAGCTTGTTCCCCTAAAACAACGAATGAGATAAATGGACACCGACGTAAATAAAGCTCCATTAAAACCTGTTTCACTTTTAACCTGTACCTCATTAACTCATGTAATGATTTGATGAAAGACATTTGAGGTAAATAGAAAAAAATTGTAATGTTATGGACACTGTACGACAAAGAAGAAGTATATGTACTAATATGGATGTAACTAATTTTGTTCGCCTACTTTACATCAAGTTGTGTAAAGGGACTGAAACCTATGGGCACTATTTACTTGGCTAACACAGACAATCCTCGAACTCGTAATAGAACTAAAATAAGGAAAATCGAAAATAAAATACGGCCTTACCCCAACCTGGTACACATACTACATGAGTACCGTGTGCTGGACATGGGAATTGCATCCGATATGTGTAACGTATACGGTGACAACACGGCTGAGGTTACGCTTTAATTGCCTGGTCATCTTACACCACGATCCACATATTCAGGCATTTTAAACACTTCTCACCGCTTTCAGATGCGCCAGTTTCAACGCTGTATATGGAAATCACAGAATATGCGACCACCTCATTGTATTGTGCCTGGCGTAGGACTCGGGGACTTAAGACTCGAATTTGAAATTTGCTTGGACCTGACTTGAATGGATCGTGACTCGAATTTACTCGCGACGCGGGGTTTAAAGATTACACCCAACACTTGAGCACGAAACCACAACACAGATTTATCAATCACGGAAGTTAATTCAAATGAGTAACTGATTTTTCGAACAATAAATTGTGGTGTTACAATTTTTATCAAATTCCGTAAGTAAGTAAGTAATTTAACCAGCCATCGACTGTATTTTCAAAGTATATTAAAGGACAAGAGAGCTACGCCCAAATATATGGACACGTCTGTTCGCAGTACATTACGGTTTACCGTACCGTCAGATCACAGTCTACAAATATATTCACACCTAGCAAAGCAGTACAGTAGGACACAAAATGGCGTCCGATGCCGCAGAACGTTTAATGACGTCATAGCAAACAAAAACAAATCTCACAGAGCTAACAGAAATATTTAAAATGAATAAAAGTAATAGCCTTCTGGGGAAAAATTTTATCTTCAACCACTGAAAATTTCAAAGCAATTGGTCCAGTATTCGAAAAGAAAAGCGGATTTTTAATATTTCCACTAGGTGTGTTATTCTGTGTCAAACAACAAGAACAAGAACAACATAATATTGAAACGATCGTTATGTCCACTACGTGTCCAAAAAGCTACTACAATCTCTGCAGCGCTCAATGCTCATATTATCATTCCGACGAATACGTCATGGATAGCGATTGGCACAACGTGACTTGCAAAAATCCATGTCAACAAAAACTTTCGTTCTAGATCGCCAGTTTACAAATATTTCCGAAAATTATTCCAGTCCACCGGCTCAAAATGTCGGTAATCTGTGACCTGGACAATATTACCTCAATTAACGAGCATTGCATTCGTTTCACTGGAATTTATAAACAAGCGAATTGGAAGATTTGAGAAACTTTCATAGTATTTATGTCAAAGGGCCTACTTGTTTTTTTATGGGACAAAAATCTTGGACAAAAATATTATTCAATCAGCAGAGTTGGTTGGCCGTGTATATAGTGA